GTTCCACCATATACAAGTTTTTTTTTTTTTGTTTGTTTGTTTGTTTGTTTGTTTCTCAAAGTCTTCATACATAAAATGTGGATAATTATAATCCCCATCTCTTGGGGCAATACAAAGAGTAAATGATGAGCTATATATAAAGCACCTACAACAGTGAGCCCTCAATCAAAGTTAGTATTACTAGAATGTGGTAGATACTGTTATACCTGATGAGATTTGTTATCACACTGTCCTTTTCCCCTGACAAAAGATAATTTTGCTTGGGACCTTAGAGATGAATTCCTGAGACCAACAGTAAATGTTTCTTGCCCAGAGTTACATAGCTGTTGAGTATTCAGATGGGCATCTCTCATACCCAATTATTCTCCCCGTCCCCATATTTCAGGAGCTGTTTTGTTATAACATTTTTGAGAAGCAGACATTTATTAGAAAACATCTCTGCTATCCCAGAAACATGGGAGAAAGGACAGAGAGGAGCAGGGCAGGGGGAAGTATCACAGAAAAAACAGTCTGATGTCCCTCCCAGGGAGTAGAGGGGCCCACCTATTTCCAGGGAGTTCCAGATGCCCTTGTGACTGAAGTCCATGTTGCACAACTTCCTCCCACAACTGTTTGAGCCCTCGCCTGACCCATAGCCATGCCATGATGTCAGCATCCACAGAACTCGGGGTCCTCTGGAGGTTGTTTTTGTCTGTCTCAGCTGTCTGCTTTCACTGGAGCCACGTTTCTGATTCCAGGGTGTATCTGCCTTCTGTTCATTGGAGCTACTTTATTTCTAAATCTTGGGCTTGTCTTTCAGGCCATCAGACCGTAACATGGCATAGAGCAACATGTTGTGGAATGGAATACAGGTGGCCGCCCTCCTAGCCACCCGCTTCTCACCCTGCTGCAGTTACACTATGGGGCTGCCCCCTGGTGAGAGAGTTTTCTTCTGACAGTGTACCCTGGGAGAACTTGCTGCTCTCTCCCACTCTTTGCAGCTCAGGCAGGGGCTGGGCGGGAGGGCCTCAGGAACATGCCAGGAGGCTATGCTAGGAGTGTGGGTGTCCTCACCTGCAGGCTGCAGAGAGGAACGGCAGGTAGACTTGCTCTTCTACTACCCTCTGCCTTTGCTGCTTGTTCTCATGTAGCTGATGCTCAGTGGGCAGGAAGGGGAAGGCACAAAGGGCATGTGCACTCATCCTTGGCGGAAGGGGGAGTGAAGATGGAAGGGTCTGTGGGACATTGGCAAGGTCCAGTCTCTGGATGTACAGGCTTATCCTGAAATGTACAGCTTGCCTCTGGGTTATCTGATGCTGGAGCATAAATATGTAGCCATCGCCTCATGGAATTTTCTGTTTACCAAAGATAGGTATCATGTGGGTCACAACCCATGCCACACATGATCATCATTACTGTGGGGTTCAAGTGGTTGGGGAGTGGCTCACTAGAATGAATCGGTCAATGTTCCTCACCCTGGCTCAGCCACTGTGCACCATGATTGACTCTACCACAGACCTCTGGGTGGTGGGATCCACATTCAATAATTGACCGATGACACTTTGCACTCCAGCAGAAATGTGAGCAGGAATGTTGCACTTGGAAGGAGGATCTGCTCTTTCAGCAGCAAAAAAAGTGGTCCCATTAAATGGGAGACACCCTGTGAGGCTCCAGATGTCCATGATGGGGGCATCATGTCCTTCCCACCAGTACAGTTCTTGGACACAGTACCAAAGATTGCTGCCAATCATGTCCAGCTTCTGCCAAGCTCTGAACCTGTTGCCTGGGTAACAGTTGCAGAGTTTAATGTTTCCTTGGGCATCCACCAGGATGCTCTCCGTCTTCATCTCTGTGCACAATGCCCTTCTTGAGGCAGTAGCACCTGGTGCACATGATCTGTGTGCACACTCACTGGGCCTCCTCCTTCTGCACATCGTTGGCCTTCAGTCCTCCACCTGCATGCTCCATCACCAACCAGATGTTTTCAATAATGTGAAATTACTTAGTTACCTTTGGGTGTTCTACCATCTTCATTATATCCTACTCATCTATAAGGAAGGGGAAGCTCTGCTCTACCTTTGGCAGGACTTTCACGGTCACTTCTATTCTGGTGAGGAGATGGCAGGCCTGTTTCACTTGGGCAAAGCTGTTCTGGCCAGAGTTCCCCAGGACCTATAATGGTTTGCAAGGGTCTTCTCTTAGGAGGAGTTGGCCAGAGTCCCAGCCACATGGTCCCATCCTTACTACTCTTGCTACACAAAGATTCTAGAAAGAAGAGGAAGAGGAAAAAGAAGCAGCAGCAGCCGCAACAGAGAAGGAAGGAGAAGGAGAAGAAAAAGAAAAAGGTGGGGGAACCCCTAAAATAGCCAAACCTAAAAAACAAAATCAAAAAATCAAACAACCCAACTATCTTTGATTCTGACAGATCACCAACCAAGAGCCGCCTGCGCTTCAAGACCAACAAACAGCCACAGCCAGGGGCTTACTATATAGGTGGTGTTTGAAATTTCCCTATGCTGGCTCCTTGTGAGGTCCAGGGCCAGTGGTGGCCCAGGTCATCGCTGGGTGTAACTCAAAAAATGGTCGTCTTACTTTTTGTCCTCCAGGATCCTTCCACTTCAATATTAAGACTAAGAAAGGACTTCAGAAGGACTCTGTGGATTATGTAGCCTGATATTTACTTGATTAGAAAGAAAAACCTATAGGAGTCTTCAATGGCCTGTTCATTTCAAGTCTGAAAATCTATAATGACTTTTGGCTTTTAAAAGCCTCATCATATCTATACTCAAAGGTTACTCAATTCCCTTTTCTTTCAACTTGGAATGATTGGTGGCAAAAAAATGGTAGCAATTCATTCACATTGTGATGATACTGTAACAAAATGCTCTGTTCCCTGAGATACCATAGGGGTGTTATTGACCCCCGTGGGGCCGAGAGAAACAGAGCTTTTGTCACAATTTCTCCCATAAAGTTCTAATCAGACTTCTCATCAGAAACCCAGAAACCCAGAAGGCAGTGGGATTGATATATTCAAAACCTTTCGACCCAGAATCCTATAGTCACAAAAAGTGTCTTTCCCGTAGGAGGAGAAAATGGAGGTGTCCCCAGATGCCTCAGTCCCTTTGTGCTATTGTAACAAATTGCCTTAGACTGAGTAATTTATTAATAGCAGAAATTGATTTCTTGCAGTTCTTGAGTCTGGCAAGTCCAAGGTCAAGGCACCAGGAGACTCAGTGTGTGGAGAGGGCTGACTTTCTCCTTCTATTGTGGTACCTAGGTGCTGGGTTTGCACATGGTGGAGGGGCAGAGGTTTGAACTGACTCCCTCAGCTCCCCTGCCTCTTTTGGGGAGATAGGGGGGTACTGGGGATTGAACTCACGGGCACTCAACCACTGAGTCTCATCCCCAGCCCTATTTTGTATTTTATTTAGAGACAGGGTCTCACTGAGTTGTTTAGCACCTTTCCGTTGCTGAGACTGGCTTTGAACTTGTCATCCTCTTGTCTCAGCCTCCCAAGCTCCTGGTATTATTGTCGTGTGCCACCACACCCGGCTCCCCTGCCTTTTTTTTTGCAATTGAACCCTGGGCTCACACATGTCAGACAAGCATTCTACCACTGAACTACATCCTCAGTCTTTTATTTTTGAAACAGGGTCTCACTAAGCTGGCAAGATTCTCCTGCCTCAGTGTCCCAAGTGGCTAGGATTTCAGGCGTACACCACTGCACTCAGCTTAATAAATGTACTTTTGTGAGTGTACAGTGCTGGCGATCAAACCAGGGCCTTGTGCATGCTTTTTTTAAAGCTACACCTCCCATTCATGAGGTTGAAGCCCCCTGGCCTAGTCACATCCAGAACACCCCACACCTCTCAGTACTGTGGCATTGGGGTGGAAATTGCAGCAGAAATTTGGAAGAACACGCATGCATATTTAAAACACAGCCCCAGATAAAGAAAAGCCAAGGGAGTTGGACACCCCTAGATAGTCCCTGCACAAGGGAAGTCCTTCAGGTTGAACTGAAGGACAAGAGGAACTCAGAGCCTAATGAAGACAGATCTCTGGTAAAGGCATATTTGTAACAATTATAAAGGCTAATGGTACTTTTGTTTTCCACATGATTTAAGAGCCTGCTGCCCTCCACGCTGCTGTGTGCTGGGGCTCTGAGGGCGATGCCAAGTACAACAGCTTCACACAGTGCGGGGATGTAGGCTGGGCCGTGGTGGGCGGGACCGTGGGTTCTCCGTGGCCTTTTCCTGGCACCAGGGGGAGGAAGACAGCTATAGAGTTGGGATGTCAGCAGGGATTTGAGAGGTCAGAGTGGCCTTGGGTCACTCCTGCACTGCAACCCCTTGGACCAGAGCTGCGGAGGGGAAGCCTGCACCCTTCTGGGTCAGTTTGCATGTCTGTTCAACTCCCTGCCCATCAGCTCTAGGCTGTCAGGCCCCAGTTGGCCACTGGTCTGTCTGTACCTAGGCATCGGAGGACCAGGTATTGAGAAGGCATCAGAGTCAGGGTTTTGCATGCCCAATTCTTGTTGAAGTTGCTTTCCCAGGTGCAGCAAGGTTCAATATAAGAAACCAATAATCCCTGTCCCCTTTTTTTTTTGTGAGGATCTTCATGAATTTCTTCCATATCCTGGTGTATTCTTAGCTTCATACTATGTTAATATTCTAGTGCCACCATCACAGAAGACTATAAAACTTGTGGCTTAAAACAGCAGAAACTTACTGTCTTTTCGACCCAGAGACTAAAAGTCCCAAATCAAGGTGGTGACAGAGCCATGCATCCTCAAACTTCTGGAGGAGGATCTTTGTGGCCTCTTGTAGCTTCTGGTGGTCCCAGGCATTTGCTGGCTTGTGTAACTCTAATCTCTGCCTCTCTCTTCAGGTGGCTGTTTTCTTTCTGTATTCACAATCCTCCAGTATCTCTGTTTTGCCTTCTTACAAGAACATCAGTCATATTCAGGCCAATTAGAATGACCTCATTTTAATCCAGTGATACCAGGAAAGACATAATTTCCAAGTCTGTCAGTTTAACTACGACCAGACCTTGCATTGCTCATTGGCACACAGGTGACCAAGATGTCTGCAACCAAGCCTAAGGATGCTTTTTCATCACTCTAGCAGTGGGTGTTTTTTTGTCTACCTTTTGGAGGGCAGTGTGCAAAGTTTTGGCTCCTTGGGGATCTAACCTAGTGCCTTGCAGGCAGCACACTTGGAAGTATTTGGTGAATGAACCTCCCTCCAGCTTCCCAGAAAGGGTAACATCCTACTCTTACAGAGGTGGCTTATAAGTTTCTAGGAGATTAAAATGCTGACCCCTGGGTCTCAGGCATAATTAGTAGTGCCAAGTCTGTCTGGATTCCAAGAAGCTATTTGACTACTTCTTGACTTAGAGCCTCTCTTGATAATTAACCTCCTGTTACAAACACATAAAGGATGTTTTTTTCATTGTCTTTGCAAATTTGTCATAGCCTTATTCAAAAAGGTTTGGAAATCAACAATAAGTGTTGAGAGAAGAGGTAACAAGAATACAGAAAAAAGGGGCTGGGGATGTGGCTCAAGCGGTAGCGCGCTCGCCTGGCATGCATGCGTCCTGGGTTCGATCCTCAGCACCACATACAAATAAAGATGTTGTGTCCGCCAAGAACTAAAAATAAATATTTAAAAAAAATTCTTAAAAAAAAAGAATACAGAAAATGAGTCATTAGAGCTATTCTGGAATTTTCCTCCTTGGGCAAGAGGTAGGATTACACTTCCTGTCCCTACTGAAGTTAGGTATAGCCATGTAGCTTGTTTCAGCTAACAAAATGGAAGCAGATAAAACCCTCGTAACTTCTGGGGAGAAGTTCCAGAAGTGTCTGAGTTGGAAGCATCATGGCACTATCGTGTGTTCACATGTGCACAAGTGGAGGGTGAACTCCGTCTGCCTTGTCTTTAGGTGATTGTGGGGAGCAAAACCCCTGCCACTCTGTCTGGACAAGAGAAATGTGCAAGAAATTTCTAGTTATGAAAAGCCACTGAGGTTTTGGAACTATTTCTAACTGTGGCATATTTAGCTCATTGTGATTGATTAAGTACACTTAGGAATGATAACATAGAGAAAATTCAGTAAGGATTTCCCCCAGAGAAACTTATTAACTTATTTTGAAAACAGTTCTTTAAAGCTTCTTGCAGTCATTAGCATTTCTAAATTAAATTCACAAGATGGTTAGATGACCATCTAGTTCTGTGACCTTACTTTTCTCTTCTATATTTAAAACTTTGGTCTACAAAGAAATGCTTGTCCTTTGTCCTTATGTTAAAGAATGTTGGGTGTGTGTGTGTGTGTATGTGTGTGTGTGTGTTTCATGAAAGAAACTAAGGTAAAATTTATGTTTGGGAAACTAGAGACCTCAACAAACAGTGATATTCTTATCTGAGCAGCATTGTAAGAACAATAACAGTTTTCCTCTGAATTTCTGTTGATAGAGTATGTGTTAAACATAGCTCTTCTATTACCTTTAGGACCTTCTTTCTAGCTATAGCCACTGGCCCAACCCGGCTTTAAATTGGGTTCTGCCTTGCAGTTACTCCCTCAGCATTGTGTTTGTAAAGCCTTTGATCAATCATGGTGACTTGCTCTTATGTCTCATTCTAGAGACTATAAACTCATTTTTTAATGAACAAAGCCAGGGTATTACAAACTGAGACCTGTTGCAACTTGACAAGAGGAAATTTTCCTCGATTTCTATCCCCTTGACCCACCGCCCCCCCCCAGTTGGAATATATGACAATGGAATCTGACCAGTTAACTAGATTTTACAGATTTGATAAGAGTAAGAAAATTAGTCATTTGCCTTAAACTTGTACTGCCTAGTTTCATATTTCATCTGTTGTAGTACCATTTATTATACTACTGTTTAAACATTTGTATGATGTGAACTTCATGATAGAAAAAAGATATATTGTTTTAAGCTGGGTACAAAAAGGAGACACACTGGAAGTACAGTACTAATTGCCAGCCTTTCAGACTTTTAATGTGTGGAAAACTTTGCGGTGTTTTGGTCTTTTAAGATTTAACATGTGTCAATTCACTTTGGCTGTTTTCAGTTTTATTGCCAAGAATGTCAAAACTAATATCACCCTTACACAAATGGTCTAGCCCAGCAGTCTCTTTATTTCCTGGGAGAGGAAATCTTTATTTCAAACTAATGTATCTAATACATAGCACAATTTTTTCTGATGTTGGAAGGACATTAAATTTCATAATTAAACTTCTTTTAGGGTTAATTACTGAGGGGAAAAAAGAATTTGAACAACAAAAGGACTTAGAAAGCCTTGGCCTCCACTTTGTATTTCATTTGTCAAGTACTTGAAAACCTTGAATTATATAGATAAGTAACTGCAAGTGGTAACAATTTATATTCAATTTATATTGGTTTATTTTGCAAGGTTCTCAGAGACTTCATATTTATAAGTATAGCAGGAATACCTAACTTTTAGGAACAAAGGAAAAATTGATTTAGCAGCACAAGTTAATGAATTAATTCCCTGTATTGTGTTAAAATTTGGTATGTAAAACTATTAAACTTTGTCTGGGGTTGTGGCTCAGTGGTAGAGCCCTTGCCTCACATGTATGAGACACTGGGTTCGATTCTCAGCACCACATAAAAATATATAAACAAAGTAAACTTATTGTGTTCATCACAACTAAAAATATATTTTAAAAAACTATTAAGTTTATTTATCTTGCTTAAATTAAACATTTAAAGAAAATTATATTAAATACTTAACAGAATTCCAAAACTCTATGGAAAACAACATTAGACAACTACTAGCTTTTTTTGATAACATATCTAGAGAACTAGAGTGTAGATTCTGACTGTGTTTCTTTTAGAGAAATTGATTGATGTTGGAGAAGATGTGAAAATATTTCCCTTTATAAAGGGTTAGACTAATCTGAGTGAATCCTCATTAAAAAATACTGTTTCCCGAAATGTTTTTGAAGTTTCATTTTAATCAATATTACAAATATAACTGCCAGCCCAGACCACTAGCTGTTTAACCCCTAAGTAACAGAGGTGGTGTAATTTAGCTGACTTATGGTGACCTGTGCATTTTCTGTTAGTTTGGTATTGTCATAGATCCTCATGGCTATTTTCATAGGAATTTTTAAAATCTGCTTTGCAGTTCTGAATTAGAAACTTTCTCTCTCCACTCCCCACTGTGAGAAAGATAACAGAGAAAAATGAAAAATTTTTGTTCCCTGTTTTTTTAAAAAAAGGTCTATATTTTTATCTCTCCACTGAAGTGGCTGCCTGTCTCCTCTTTGAGACAGAATCATGGGTTCTCTGTTACACGGGAGCTCTGAAGAGGTCTAATTTAGTTTTGTGCCTTTAGGGACATGGTTTTGTGAAGCTGGGTAAAGAGAAAACTTTTCCAAAACCAAACACAATTTCTTCTCCTCTAGAAAACTGGACATTTACAGGAACCCTGGGGCAAATCCTTTGGCCAGGCAAAGGCTCCTTTAATGTGCCTGGGTAATAGGGAAGCTCCTGGTGCTTTAAAAGCCATTAAAACCTTCTAAGCCACTAGCCCACTGATGAGAAAAGTCTTGTGTAGTGTTTTTTCATTGAACACAACCCATGGCCCTAGCCTCCTGCCATCCAGAGCACATGTAGGCATCCCTCTGTGAACTGGATGATGTTACAGGCTGGCAGCCAGCTTCCACACAGCATTTGCTATTGGTATTGAAATTAAATTCAGGATGGGTGTGGAAGCATATGGCTAAAATACCAGTGACTCCTAGGCTGAGACAGGAAAATTGCAAGTTTGAGGCAAGATCTTGTCTCAAGATTTAAAAAATACACGAAGTTAGGCTGGGAATGTACCTGTCCCCTCCCTCCCCAACCTGGAAAAAAAAAAAGCATGTATGTAGGTGCTTAATCATTCTTAATTTCTTGTCATCATTATTTTCATTGTTATCATTATTATTATTATTAAATTATATTATGCCCTATAAAAATATTATTAGAAAAGGTAGATACAAAGAAGTCAACAAAATATTATTTTTAATGCCCTCCCTTGACTCTCTGCCTGTTCCCTCTGCAGAATGTGATAAACTGAGGCGGGATGGCTACCGAAGTTCTCAGTACTACTCTCAGGGACCCACTTTTGCAGCCAATTCTAGCCCACTCTGCGAAGATTATCAAGATGAGGATGCAGAAACAGATCCAAAGGTAAGGCCGTTAAGTTCAACATGGCATCCTGGATTGACCCCAGGACAGAGTGGACATAAGTGGGAAATCGGACAAAATTAGAATCAAGTCTATATTTTAGTTAATAGTATTGCAGCAAGTTAATTTTTCGGTTTTGACAAAAGTACCATGATTACAAAAAACAGTAATCTAAGGGAGAACCAGTGAAGGGTACATAATCTTCATAGTTTCTCTGTCAATACACAGTTATTCCAATAAATAAAGAAGTTAGGATCCAAGTGATTCATTGAAGCAACAGAAAATCAGTATATTTGTGCCTTTTGAATATTCTGTATTGGTTAGGAGGAAAAAATGAAGATTTTCTTTCTTTTTCATATTACCAAGTACCCAGTTATATTACAAAGAAGAACTCTGTTATTAATGATAGCCCAAGGCCAGTTATTAATGAAGTGAAGGAGTTTTACTTAGCTCATCATTTGGGAAGCTCAGGGACCTGACACCAGCATTGACTCAGCTCTGGTGAGGCCCTGTGTCCCATTATGGTGTCAAGCAATCACCAGTCAAAAGGAAGCTGGAGAGAGGCTGGATGGGGCCATCTTGGGCTATTTACACAACACCTCTCTGGACTCACCGGTGTCCCACAAGAAACACCTTGATCTCTTTTGAGAGCACTCCTTCAGTGACCTGAGCATCTCAGAACAGTTGCCACCTCTCAAAGATTTCACATTCCAACAATGCTACACTGAGGTCCAAGCTCCCAACACGTGGACCCTAGGGGGACAAACTACATCCAAACCATAGCCAACTGAGTATATAGCAAAAGCTACTATTTCACCACTGTCAGGGTTTTGAACATGCATGAAATATATGCACTACTTTTACTTGATGTTATTGCACTGGCCAGTTTACTTAATGATTCTGTTTTACATTTGAGTTCCTTGTTCTCATACCTTTCTTAGGATGTGTTCAAATTACTTCCGAGATGTATATTTTCTCAGTACTAAATGCACATGAAATGGAATTTATGGACATTTTTATTTATATAATTTTATTTTCATTATATTGAATATTATAGAAAAATACATACTGGAATAAGCTAAACAAAATAAGATTTGATAGGTTTGGTTTTGAAACCTTTTTTGGTACCGGGATGAACTCAAGTGCACTCGACCACTGAGGCACATCCCCAGCCCTATTTAGAGACAGGGTTTCACTGAGTTGCTTAGCACCTGAGGCTACCTTTGAACTCGTGATCCTCCTGCCTCAGCCTCCCAAGCAACTGGGATTTTAGGCCTGTACCATGAAACCACATTTAACTAATATAAATATTTTCAGTGGTTAGGTCAATACAGAAACACTGTATTGGTTGGAGAACATTCTTCAAGAGCATTCTTCAGGGGTTTTTGTTGTTGTTGTTAAATAGGCAACTTCTGAGGACAAAGTACCATCAGAGTTGATCAAAAAATGGGAAATTACTACCCAAAGTTTTTGGTTTTCATATGGATATTGAACCCAGATTAATTTTTTAGAGTTGCATTTTTAAAATTAATATTATTTTTAACTGAGAATTCATAACTGAATGCATAAATGTGGTACAATGCGATCTTTTGATACAGGTATACAGCGTGGAATGATTGAACAAGCTAGTTAGCATATTCATCACTTCCCTTAGCTATCACTTTTCTAGTAAAGCATTTGGAATTTACTCTCTTAGTTATTTTGAAACGTACATTTTATTGACTGTGGTCACCTGGCTATGCAATAGATCTCAAAACTTATTTCTCCTCTGTACCTAAAACTTTGTACCCTTAGATCACTAGCTTTCCATTTCCTCCTTCCCAACCCAGATTTTTTTTTTCTTTTTTTTTTTTTTTTTTTTGGTAGCATGGATTGAACCCAGGGGCACTTTCCACTGGGCTACATAACCAGCCCTTTTTATTTTTTATTTTCAGACAAGGTCTTGCTAAATTACTTAAGGTCTCACTAAGTTGCTAAAGCTGGCCTCAAACTTTGGATCCTGGTGCCTCAGCATGTACCACCATGCCTGATTACAGGCATGCACTAATATACCTGGCCCCACACAGATTTTATCACAGAATATTTTTCCTGCCTATTTAAAGGTATTTTCACATATTAGCTTAGTCCTTTTGCTAAAATGTACAAAGATGGTCATTTACTTTGGTGGGACAAACAGCCATTTCAAAATCGATCTGATCTTTAATTTTAAAAACTTATTTTTCACTTCTTGGCAAGAGTAAGGGAAATGAAAACCAGAAGGTGAATTGTATAGTGAAATTTATGTTTTTCCAGATAGACCTAGCCTTACACTGCTGCTCAGAGGGGGAGGAAACGTTTTTGGTGGAGGCCCATTGAGTCAGAGGTCATGTCTGGGAGCAGATGGTCGCACAAATTGTGAGCATTTAAGAGTATGGGCTCCCCTGGAGGCAAACTTGCATTAATATGGCAACATCCTAAGACCTTCTGCCAAAAAAAAGTTAGAAACTTAGTTGCTAAATTCACACATAGCTACTTCCTCAACCTGGTGCTGATCCTGATGGAAATTTAGCTTTTGTGGGAAACTTCTATTTCTGTGGGCCTTTGCTGTGGACTCCTAACTTCAAGCAGTCCTCCTCCAGATGCATGGATGGAATGTGGATGAGCCAACACTCCAGAGAAAACAAAGTTCCCATCATGTTGAAAATGAGTTGCTAGATAATGATACCATGTAAAGAAATATATGACGTGGCACATTCCAGTAAACACACGTGCCTTAGTGCAATTTAGTAGCACAGGCATCATTAGGCCAGAAACCAGAAAGTGAGAACCTCAACCGATCTCCTTGGGCCCACTGTCCTTCTTTTGGTGGACTGAAGTCAGAGCAGTGGTAGAGTGTCCTGGCGTGTGTGGGAGGAGGGTTGTGTTCTGGGCTCCCTGCAGGGGGCCCCTGAGTCACAGGCTGGTGTGCAGCTTCTGCACTCTCCTCCTATATTTGGGCTTTCATGAAAGCACAGAGCCACTTTCAAACCGAAGCTTCAATTTCTGTTAGTTTTGTGATTTTCAAAACTCAGGCTGATACTTATTCTTGGTTCAAAGAATTTTGAAATCGTTGGAATATGTTGCTAGTGATATTTAAGTGGAACATTTTTTTTTTTCCTTGAGTACATAGAACCAAACTGAAGCATTTAGATTTTTTTTTTTTAAAGATTAGGTTTCAATAAATGCTTTCCCAAGGCAATTTCTGTTAAAAAATTGCTTCAGAATCAAATAAATATCAATTTAACATGTGTTACCATATATTAACTTCTATTAGCTTCTTGTACTAACTACTTCAATTTCTTTATGCCATGGGGCATCAAAAACCCACTTGCTGGCTGGGGTTGTGGCTCAGTGGTAGAGAGCTCGCCAGCACGCACTGGGCGCTGGGTTCCATCCTCAGCACCACATAAAAATAAAGGTATTGTGTCCAACTACAATTGAAGCAAAATATTTTTAAAAAAACAAAAAACTTGCCATCCCACTATTACATACCCATTTTGATGCTCTTAGAGGATATTCTTCATCTTTTTTTTTTCTCTTCTTTATTGGGTTAATTAAAATGTTCTCTACCAGAGAATATGCTTTTTTCCCCTTAACTGTATGAAATTACCAAGGCTTAGTGCTGCTTTCGGTGACAAAGGCCTTGTTTTAGTCAGCTTTTTCACTATTGTGACTAAAAGATCTGACCAGAACAACTTAGAGGAGGAAGATTTATTTGAGGGCTCACGGTTTCAGATGTCTTACTCCATAGAAGGCCGGCTCCATTCCTCAGGGCTTGAGGTGAGGCAGAACATAATGGCAAGAGTATGTGACAGAGGGAAGCAGCTTCCATGGTGATCCGGAAGCAGAGAGAGAAGCTCTACTTGCCAGATACAAATATATACCCAAAAGCCATGCTCCCAATTCCCTCTCCTCCAGCCGCACACTACTACTTCAGTTACCACTCAGTTAATCCCTATCAGAGGATTACTTCACTGGTTAGTTAAGGCTATAACCCAATCATTTCTCCTTCAAATTTTCTTGCATTGTCTCACACAGGACTTTTTTTTGGGGGGGGATACCACATCTAAACCATAACAGGCCTTGAAACTGGTCTGGAAATGAAACACTGGAACTCTTGTGCTTTACTGCCACTTCAACAGGCTTTTCTTCTTAACTTGGAAGGTTTCACCCCGAGAGTCCCTTTACCTTACTTTGTACATGATTGACTATTTAGCTGGTTCATACATTCAGTAGTCGTTTATTGAGGAATTACTCCTAACCAAGTATTTACCTTGTATCAGAAGTCTTTATTAATCTTCGTGATCCCAACCACCATTCACTAGGTCACATGATGCACCGATACCTCTAGGCTGTGTAACCATCAGTGGGACATTCTTCATCCTCCTCAATGAAAGAGTTTCTTAAGAAGTAGAATTAGAATTCATTTGAAAACAAGAATTTATTTGGCACCTCTTGGCCAGGGACTAATCCAGGTATGGGAGATTAACAGTGAACTGAACAGCAGAAATCCCTGTCCTTGATGGAGCTTTGATGATGGCATGGAGAGGCACTGAGCATATAGAAGCGATTTAGTTGTATTGGAAAGTGACATGTGCTCTGTAGTAAAATAAATCAGATGGAGAAGAGGTGCGACTTTAAATTAAAAGAAGAGCATTACTCAGCCCAAAGAGGTGATTGAGTTTAAAAGAATGAGCCATCCTGAAATCTTGTAGAAGAACCTTTCAGGAAGAAGAAATAGCCAGTGCACTGAAGGCTCTCTGCCCTATATTGTGAAATGCAAAGATTAAGAAGATATCTGTGCTTTTTTTTCAAGGAACTTACAGCCCACAGGGATAGGGGGAACCAAGTAGGATAAATGTTTTTATGTATAACATGCACAATAAGTGTTTGGCATTCAGTAATAGGTGAAAGGGAAATGTTTTCTGACTTTAGGCTATTGTAATAGCCAAGAGATAAGTGACGACTTAGATCCCAAGAGTGAA